TTGGGAAATTCTATCCTAAAAGTCTCCTTGCAAGCTCCTAGCACCTTTTGACCTTCCTCTGGTGAGTTCTGAATCTTTCCGGCTTTTATTAAACACCTTATCACTAGGATCTCTCTCTCTCTCTCTTGCCCAGAATAAAGAACTTTATAAGGGCCGGCCGAGTGGCTCAGTTGGTTAACAGCTCGGTCAAGAGTGTGAGCTCTGAGCAACAGGGTTGCCGGTTTGATTCATGGCCGAAACTGAGCTGCCGCTGAGTTTCAGCTAAAAAAACAAAACGAAACAAAACAAAAACAAAAAACTTAACAGCATGCTAAGACAGTGCAGGTTATCCCTGGGTGGCTCTATTCAATAGGCAGGTGTGGAAACAGTTCCGGACCCTGGAGCAGTGTTGTCCCTACATTACAAATGAGCTTCCGAAATTCCAGTTGAAACCATCTGAACAACCCCCTTTTTTTTTTTGAGAACCCCCTTTTTCATTTGCTCTTATATGAACAGAGCTTGACACATATTAAGCACCAATAACTATTTGCTGCCTAAATGTTATCCAGGACTGACCATGATCAGGTGGTCAGAATCCAAAACCCCTGATCACTACCTGTTGTAACTGGTTCGTAAGAGCCACTCCAGGCAAATGAAGGCTCCTATTAATGAAGGCTTTAGCCCTACATCTCTGGGTCATCCTGTGTGTCTTCTAATCACAGTAGTTTTGTTCTCTACCAATTATTGAGTATCCAGGAATTTTGCAAACCAGTTGTTCAACCGTTGGTATCTTAAAATCAGCCATTCTAGGGGTATTTACCCCACGAAGATCGGCAAGCACGTGTCAGGATGCGTGGAAAGAATGGCCGTGGCTTCACCTGACAGATCGCCATGTGTCATTTTTGGCCTTTGTCCCTTTGAGCTCTTTCTCCAAGCATACCTATTACAGGCTAGAACGTGCCTCGGGCACTCCCTTGTGACTTGTTTATCCTTCAGTTAACCAAAAATTTTAATAGCTGGACCTGCTGTTAGCCAGAGGCATGGAGGTTTCTTAGTGGGAGGAGAGCTGAGAGGATAAGAGAAGTGACAATTGCAGCTTTGCAAAGCCCCTCCGTCAATCACCAATCTGCTCTGTCTCTTGGGACCAGTGAGATGGACCAGTTCAGCCCCTCGAGGCCTTTGACTAATTTCACTTTGATGTGTCCCCCTACCCCCCACCCCCCAAGAACTTTCTGAACTGGATCAGGTCATGAAGCAAACACATTTCTCCAGGAGACTAGTGATTCATAACCCTGGCTACACCCGGTGAGCTCCTAAAACATAACCAGTCTGAGTCCCATTTAGAGGCAATAAATCACAATACCTAGGGATGAGGCTCAAGCACTGATATCTTTAAAAGCCACCCAGAGGCTCCCAATGCACAGTGGGTTTGGAACCATGGCACTGGACAGGGATGCTCAATGCCCCTGGGATGCTTTCAGTACATATTAATGCCTGGCTCCAGCCCAGATGAATTGAATCCAAACGTTGAAGCTCTCCAGGTGATTCACAAGGAGTCAGAATTGAGGCATGCTGCTCTAGGCCAAATGAGAAGTGCCTCTTATTTTGTATCTCACCTCAAATTATGCAACCATATTATTCAAACAAATGTATATTATTGAGTTCTGATTTTGCTGTCACCCTACGCAACAAAAATTTCTCCCGTCAAACTAATCCCTTGATCTTACCCTGAAATTAAAGTCTAAGCATATATAGATAGTATCTTCATTTTACATTTTTTTTGTAAACTGCTCAACCCCACCAGAGGGGCTTTACTTGAGAGCCTGGCTGAGTCTCAGTTCTGCTTCTCCAAGACCCACAAAGTAGTGAGTTGACGTGCTGGGCAAACACACAAAAGCCCTTAACAAATATTCATAACGGCCCAGAACCACATGTGACTGTTTCTGTACCATATACAGCATGCATCAACGTCCCAGTTTTCAAACACAGGGGGTATGCCCAGACCCTATTCATTACTTACTTTCTAGATCAGCGATTCTCAGTGAGGTCCCTGGACCAGCAGCACCTCCAGGCTAGAAAGTTCTTGGGCTGCACCCAGACCCCCTGAATCAGAAACTCCGGGCATGGAAACTTCCAGAGGATGCTTCCACTCAATTTTGAGAACAGCGCTCTCCAGAGGCATGTCGATGTCACCAGCAGGTCACTGCAGAGACAGAATGTTGTCTAAATGGGAGGGCAGAGAAAAGCCAAGATGGGAGGGAGTCGTGATGTTACTTCCCTCGGGTACCAGCGAATCCATTCCCCGTTGTTCGGAGCCCACCACCTGTGAACTCAGAACAAGGAGTTTGGATTATTCTCCTATTGAGGTTCACTGACACTGAAATTACTCTATTTTGGAGAAAAAAATGTTGGCTGTATTATTTATGCACACCTTCTTTCTCTGAGAGAAAGCATCTGAATGCTTGGGCAACATTTAGAGCTTGCGCGTGGCATCACCAGGTATTTCCTGAGGCCCCATTCTTTGCCTTACTGCCATGTTGTACATCTAAAACCTTTTTTCATTCTCCCTTTCAATGCCCCATTTGTTTTCTGTGCCCCTAGCAGCCCACTTCTGAATGTTGTGTGGGTTCTGTGTAGGGAGGGATAGAATTACCACTCTCTTGTGGCCCAGGAATCCCATAGTTAAAATGAGCAAGGCTCCAAAGTAACCTCATGGCCTCATGTGGCCCACAAGGTAGTCCCTTTGCCACCAATAAAAAAACAGGAGGTGAACCTGGGGTAGAGGCCACAGGCTCCCTCTCTCTCCCCACTGACTCTACATCACACCTACCTGCCCTCAGCCCACTTACATTGGTGGTTTTGCAGGAAGAGCCTCCTTAGTAAGAGTCCCCCCAAAATACCTCCTCCTCTGAACATACCAGAGTCCATGTCTCAATCCCTGGCTTTTCATAGCCTGAGTGCCCAGCAGCACTGCCCACCAAATCTCAGCCCCATGTACCTTGACACACTTGACTGCCTAATGCCACCAGACGTTAGTAGTGATGAATGGAGACAGCACCTGGGCCTGAATCCACAGCTGAATATAACTGTACTGCTCTTGGTTCCTGGGGGACATCCCAGGACAGCAAGCTCTCTTCCTCATCAGCTCTTGGGCTGGTAGCCATGGTGGCACAAAAGACTCCACTCATTCCTTTCAACCCAAGGCTGTGTGGCCTCCTTGGCCCCTTCCCTGGACTCTTATTCTGGTGCTTTTCTTCCTTTCTTTTTCCTTCTTTCTTTCCTTTTCTTTTCTTTTTTTTTTTTTTTGGCTACAGCTTCGTAGCATAATTTTCATATCACAAAATGTACCCATTTTCAGTGTACAATTCAATAATTTCTAGTAAATGTAGAGTTGTGCAACCATCTCAATTCAATTTTAGCACTTTTTCATCACCCCATTTGCAGTCACTTCTGGTTCCTTTTTGTCAATGGGGTTGCCCAGGCCATCTTTTCTCACCATCTCCTGGAAGAGCTAATGCCCAAGAGCCCAGAGGGAATTCATCCAAGTGAGGGAACTTCTTTGCTGCTCCCACCAACACCCATCTCCCCTCATAGTCTTGGCCTTGATTCATTCTTCCTGGAGTACAGTGAGAGATGTAGCTCACCAAGACCTCACACCCATCATCAGATCTACTGGGCCTTTCACGTGAAGTCGCCAGCAATGTATGCTTCTGTGGGCAGAGTGGTTACGAGCACTGCCTTGCGTCCGAGTGCCCAGGTTCAAGTTCAAGCGCTGCCATTTAATCGCTACATGGCGTCAGTCTACTGACGTGTATAATGGAAATCGAAATAGTACACCCTATGGAGTTACAAGAAATAGATTACATTCATGGAGAGTAAATGTTACAAATTATTAGTTTGATCAAATTTTCCAAGGGGCCTATCACCACCACCACCCCCCATATTCACAAATCTCATTACAGAGGTTGTAAGATGCCACCCATGACAAGTTCCACGGGGAAGCCCCCATGTGTTTAGAACAGGAAGATATGGTTGGGAAAATATTGGAAGAAGTCACATAAATAGGGAGAGATTAAGAGGAAGCTGGGAGAAAGCCCTAGAAGAGCAGGAAACAGGTCAGGGATGCAAATAAGTGCCAGGAATTGAGGTATGGACCAGGGCAGCTGAGACTGGCGAGAGAGTGAGGCGGAAGTGGGGGCAGGAGGAAGTTTAGGGAGGGGGCTTCCTCTTAACCTGCGGTCTTAGGATGCTCTTTCAAGTCTGAAATGCTCAATTTGTCAGAAGAAGAATCAAATACAGGTACTGGGAATGGAATAATACAAATGAGAGCCTAAAAGCCACATGCACAGCTTGAGTTTCACCATTTGTCCGACTGTTGGACCAACCACCTCTTTGACTTTGGAGTCTACCTACCTCATCAAGAGGCCCCCTGTACCATTTTGGTGGGTCCCTCTGGAGTTTCTGGCTTCTATCCAGGGCAGCTGGAGACAACGTTGCAAAAGGGCTGCTGAGAACAGTCTGTGAGAGTGCTGTTCCACCAGCTAGGATTGCTTTCTTGGTTCAAAATGTGCAAGTGGCAGATTTTGCTACACAGAAGAGGCCAAGGGCACTGGCTGGCACTGGCTAAGCAGTCTTCCAACCTCCCTCCCAGTCAAACAAGTAGCCATCATTTACAAAAACACAACACACACTGGGTTTTAATGAGAAAATAATTGTATACTTGCATTGAATGCCTCACAATCACTATAAAACCAAAGCAGAATCATGACATTGAAGTGGTTAACATACACAGGAGAGCCAGGTACAGAGTATAATATCCAAACACAGTATTGTTGCTGCTTTTCCCCACCTCCTCCAAAAAAAAAAGAAAAGAAAAGAAAAGAAAAAAAGTCATTTGGGTAAAGAGCAACACAAAAATTGGCAGCTTACTCACTGAATGCTTAAAATTCAGGAAATTGGTTCTGTCACTAAAACTGGATATAGTCACCATCTCTAAACACTTAGGCTCTGTTCTTTTTTTCAATACATAGTTTAATTACATCCATTTTTTAGCTGGAAAAAAATGTTTGTCTTCCGAGACAACAAGAGTCAACACTGTTTTAGTGTTCCTTATTATGCTTTATGTGTGTGTGTTTGTGTTGTGTATATATGTGGACACTGATCAATATACTGCTTATATGTCATTTTCTAGGGTGGGCAGCATGCACGGGTGTAGAGGCAAGGCAATTGCATTGTATGATCTGAGTAGAACACAGCCTGGTCTCCTGCCACTGACAGACCCTGTTTTCCATAATTTCTAGATGAGAAAGCCAAGGCGTGTCAGCAGTTCATCGGTTCTAGAGGAAAGTGAACATCTATAAACACTGCAGAATGGAATACTTTCAGGAAAGCTTTTAACATCTACAGAATCTAAACATTTGTGAGAGTTGAGATTAACAAGTGTGCGTGCTATTTGGGGGCAGGGACAAGCAACTGAGGCCAAGTTTCCCAGAAGCCTCTTCCTCTCGCTCGATTAGGCAGGAATGACTTCCCCTCCAGGGGTCTGTTGCATCTTCAGGAAGTTACAAGGGGTTCCTTTGGGATCCCAGAGCCTAGCACAGTGCTATGTACAAAGCATTGGCCCAATGTTTCTTGAGTGAGGAAATAACTCATGAGCACGTAGACAATCAGGCTCTCCCAAGGGAACTGTCGTTTACATGTTAATAGGATAATAAGTAGGTGGAGGGAGGAAATGGACAACAGATATCCAGAAGGCAGGGTAAGGAACAAGCAAACATCAGAAACGTAGGGGCCACAGTTAAACAGCTATGTGACTGCGGGACAGTCATGGGAACTCTGCATTTGATGCTGTATCTACACATGGAGTGTAGACCAAAGAACTCCAGCTCTATAACTCCCTGTGTGCAGTTAAGTGCTTCTGGTTCAACTGGCTGTAGTCAAAAGACCAATCTGTCTGGCTCTAAAGCGATTCCATGATTGTGTGGCCTTCTAAGCAATCCTTTCAACTGCACATTCTCTTCTCAAAAGTAGGTTTCCGATGGGTACTCGGTGGTCTCCTTCACAACAGAACAAAACACTTCAGGTGACGTCCTGAGGACTGATTCCTCTTGTGAAAGATGGGGGACTTTGTCTAGATCATGCCTATGGTGTTTTCCAGATCCAGAGTCAGTCCAGAACACATGAAGCACATTTCATTTTATTGGGCCACCCACAGAAGCACTCTGCTCCCCAGCCATCCTAGCTGCCGCTGTGCCCTTGGCCACACAAAGCGGCTGCCCCGCGTTTTCATTCGCCTGCCTGCCTTGGGATCACTGGAAATCTTCAGGCGAAGCATCCTTCCTAGGTGATGCCATTTCACCCATCTAATCCAACCCAGATCTCATTTTCCTGAGAATGTCTGCTTCCATGCCAGCCTCCCGGCTCGAAAATGAATTCCTTGCAGCAGGAATCTTACTAGTTTGGTGTCCCCCAGTGGCTAACACATTCTGTTGACTATTCAGGAGAATGAACTATATGTAAAGATGGCGCCAACTGCCTACCTGTAGAATCTGGCTTCAAGTTGCAGCTTCCCTTAGCAGTTTTAAAGGATCCTTATAAATTATCAGACAGTTCCATTTTTACTTAGCGCCTGCCACTTGTCTGTGAATTACTTTCCCCTAAAGTCAACACTAGTCTAATAAAAAATAATGTGCATAACATCTACATACAAACTTTGTGGAATTGCTACTTGTCAGAATAACATATTAGAGCTTATGACACAACAATATAAAAACAAAAATGGGTTTTAGTGAGGTCTGACTTAATTATTGCTTTTTAAAAAAAAAAACAAAACAAAACAGTTTTAAAACAAAAGGGAAAAAAAAGGCTGGTCAGTTGTTTTTTTTCTCATGGCCAGAATTGAAATTTTTCTCATCCAGAAATTTAGGGCATCCAATTATTGAACACCCTTATCATATTGCTTTAAATGACAGAAAGAGTAAAGCTGGCATCCTCTATAGTATATACTAAGCATGAATACAAAGCATGAGAATAAATATGATACCTTCCTAAGTGTCAAATTACAAAACTGCTCAAAACTCTGCAATTTGTGACTCATGCAAATACCATGTTAGCTCAATTTAATATTACAAATACTGCATCAGTTCGGTGCCTCTATATCCCTTTTCATAAAAAAGAAATTCTCACTCACTCCTGACGCTGGTTAACAGCTTTGGAGGAAATAACTGTACATTCTTGTCCCATGATCATTCTGGAATTTTAATCCATACACACGCGCACACACGCATGAGCATGCGCACACACATACACACCCCTACTCATGAGCATACACGTTACACAAATACACAAAGGTATGTGTACACAGGTACACGCACGTGTACACACACACATACACACACACACACACACACACACACACACACACACACACACACACACACCATCTTTAGGATTTGTAGCTGATCCCAGGCCTGCACTTAAACTTCTATATTTTTCTCTGTATGATCCTGAAAAACACTGATTGCTCAGCAAAAATATCTTCCTTATTTTCCTACTTTCTCCCTCCCTTAGTCTCTCTCTACCTTCATGACCTTTCTTTCATGTTTCATTTCTGATTGACCCAAAATAATCTCATTCTTCCTACCACCCCTAAGGTCCACTTTATCATATAAAATATAAACCCCTTTTTATTTCTTGTCATCTATCTCTCTAAGGCAGAGTTCACCCTTTTTTCAATTATTGCCACTCTAAAAAATACCCCTAACCCTCTTGAACCAGGCTGTTCAATGTGTATAGGTTTTATACATGTATATATTCCCCCATCCCATCATAAAAATAGTCGTTGCCCACTAAATATAATTTTCATGTGAAGAAACATAATTGTGAAAATGTGTTCTCATAAACTGCAGATCAGTCAATACTATAAGCAGACGAGATCCTAAAGCTAAAATAATCCATTTGGTTTGGCTTTCTCCCCCTTTCTCAACCTCCTAATGTAGAATAGATTGTGTTTGCAACATGAAGAAGCATTGTCTTAAAAATATGGATTTTGTGTATTGCAATCATTAATTGCTCCCAATTAAATGTAAGAGAAATGGAATCATAATTGCCTCTTCTCGGCAAATATAGAGAGAAACGGTATTTGTTTTATGGCTGCTGAAGTAAATGTTAACCCAACACCTCTGATGCTGTGAGCGATGGGTGGGAAACGGGTGCCGACAAACATCCTATGCTGTGTAGACTGCACCAGCTTGGGCTCTACTGCTCTCTAAATGGCCCCATCACCATTGTTTGTCCTCACCACCCAGCAAGGTTGGTCTTAGTTCTGCCTGTAGCAACCATGTGGATTTGCTTATAACTACTTTGTCCTTTTGTATCAGGTGTGGATTGGTCCAAATTTAGGAGATTCTCTGAGTCACCAAAATTCCTTTCTCTGTTGACTCCTGGGTGTTTAGAGTTTGATGGGTGGTCTTTTCACTTTATTTTTCATCATTGTATATTGCAGCTTCTGGTCTACATAAGGATTGCTGAGTTTGTTTGCACTTTAATAAATATTCCATTAAAATGCTTTGATGTGTTGATTGCTTGGTTTCTTGGTAACCCAAGCACCAATGAAGCTTCCTGGATGGAAGGAAGTTTATTATTCATTGTCCTCTTCCTCCTGGTTGGCATAGATCCCCGCCTCCCAGCGCAAGGCCAGCGCACTCTTCCTTCGATTAACACGGGTGGCCTCAAGGACCTGAAGAGAGAGGGGAAAATATTATGCAGAGTTCATGGATGTTAATTAAGTATACAAACCAACTTCTTCGTTTCTTTCCTCCTTTCCCTCTCTCAACAGCATCTAATGAGAGGGGAAGTAATCAAGTTTGTTTGCTATATGACCTATAGTTTTTGACATAGATTTAATTTTCCTGAAATGTTTGCAAGTTTCTTTGAACTAGACTTGACTCTATATTGAGTTTTTAGATAACAAAGCAGATTTCTACATGCAATATAGATCAGCACTGTCTGATGGAAATGTTCTGTATTTGTGCCATCCAATATGGCCACATGTGCCTACCGAGCACTTGGAATAGGGCTAGTGTGGCTGAGAAACTAAATATTTAAATTTAATTGATTTTAATTTAAATATCCTCATGGAACTGGTGACAGCACAGCTATGGACTGTCTTAAGTCACTTTGTAAACAAGGAAACCAGAAAATAATTCCAAACACTTGGATCAGTGTGGATTCAATCCATCAGGCTTTGTGGATCTATATAAGCTATGACCATATTTATATTACGAAAGTCTACTTTGGTATCATTTAACTTCAAAGAAGCATTAAGTGTAAGAGAAAGTAGCTTTTCAGGCCAATGAAAAGCAATCTGAGCATTTTGAGGCAACTTCAGGGGCATGGATGCTAATAAGTGAAATGAAAGGTGACAACGTCAAGGATAAGTAGGCTCACCACAATTGGGATAGGGCCTCCCCCCTTCCAGCTCACTAGAATCAGCTGTGGACTCCTGAGGGGAAACTTTAGCCAATCTGTTCCAGCTTTAGTTTGAACAAGATGAGATCCAGATGAATAACATTTAGGTTGCCAACATATGAGAAATGGCTCAATTTCATGACATTCCACCAAAAGCAAGCCCATGCATGCAAGCCAATTAAATTATTGTGGCATTAGCTTAGGATGTGAAGTTTCTGACTTTAAAGAAAAGTCCAGCAGAGCCAACTCTGGTTGATTATCCAAATTGCAGTGAAGGCTTTGCTTATTCTAAGAACAGTCATTTTGGCAAGGGACAGTGATGCTGGCAACTCCAGAGAAGTGAGGAGATGCAGGTGACGGGCAGGGGTGGGTGCCCAGCATAAGCAAATTCTGGGTCAGGGGGTCCACCTCAACCTGCTTCTCTGCACCTCTGACAAATGAACAGACTTCCCAGAGTTTCCATATGCTCTCCCGTAGGAAACCTTCCCCAGTCCTCCCAGCAGCGACAGCTGGCCCCGAAATGCAGGACTCAGTCATGTTGCCTGACTAAATGTTCATCGTTAGGCACATGAGCCATGTCACACAGTGTTTTGTGTGTAAGGATACCATACTCATTTACTCAATATCTAAGACTAAGCAATCAGTAGGAAAAAAGAAGCTTCCAAGTCTGGTAGAGTTATAAATAGAGGATTCTTCTGGTCGATGCATGGTAATATGGTACCGAGAAGCAGTCTGAACCAGAATTAGAGGTCCGGAGCTTTACTCCCAATTCAGTCCCTGGGGCGTGTTGCTGTTGTTCACGGCATCTTGTGCCTCAACTGTATCTGTCAAATGGGCACAGCACCACTTACCCCACTTCACAGGCTTTCTCAGGAGGCAGTGTAGACTCTGAAGTCCAGGCAGGTCTAGGTTTAAATCCTAGTGACACTGTGGCCTTGGGAAAGTTTATGCCTGTGCCTCAGTCCCCTCATATGTAACATGTGAATTAAAAACAAAACAAAACCCAAAACAAAAAACAAACAAAAAAACACTACAGTACAAAGTTGGCCTGAGAAATAAATGAGGCAATATATGGAAAGCATTTAGCATAGTTCCCAGTGCATAGTAAGCTCTCAAACAATAATTATTTCTATCATCACATGAAGGGGCTTTATAAACTATGAAGTGGTATTCAAATATAAGGCGTTTTTATAAGGAGCTCTCTACATTGTGTAAAAAAATGGTCATCTGTTTGCCTTGCAGATTGCAGATACAGACTTAAACGTGTACCTAAAAGCTAAAAATACATCCAAGGTTCTGAAAACCACAATTAGACAATGAGGAAGGAACATATAATGATATTCTCGATATTCACTTCACATCTTATGAAAGAGAATTACCGATAATCCTTAGCTCACACCTATAGTTAATTGTTTTGCTAAATAGGGAGACTTAAAAAATATCTTGAGCTACAGGTTAGCACAACCAATTTGAAGACTAACTTGTAATATGTAGTGAATGTAAGGATATATAAGCCCTATAACTAGTACTTCAACTCCTAGATATATAGAGAGAAATTCTCTCACAGGTACACAAAGGGATATGTATAAGAACATTCTTTGAAGCACCGTTTGTAATGGCAATAAAAAAAAATTAAAAAGAAAAAAAGGAAACAACCTATGTTTCCATCACTAGGAGGAGGAATAAACAGCGATATGTTCATTCAAAGGAATACTATATAGCAGTTATAATGAGTGACCTAGAGCCGTAAGTATCACACGAACACACCTAAAAACAATGCAGACAAAATAAAGAGTAGAGGATACTACAATATGATATTGTTTTAGAAAGTTCTGGATCATGCAAAACCGGAATATAATATTTATGTATACAAACATATGTGGTAAAAGTGTGAAAACATGCATGGAATTGATGAACACCAAACTCAAGAACAGTTACCGTATTTTGCTGTGTATAATACGTACTGTTTTGCCCAAATTCATGAGGGGAAAAATAAGGATGCGCATTATACATGGTAGTACTAATTCTGTATCTATATAAATGTTTTTAATGCTTTTATTTGTGCTTATGAGATAAAAGTGTAACTCCAGAAATCAAAAATGATATCTGTATGCAAAATAATACCCTGGAATATGCTAATCGGTTTTGTTGAACTTGTGGTGAACTTGCAATGACGAAGTGTTCTTGGCCTTCTGTGATGCGTCAATAGCGCAAATTTGTTACCGGTACACAAAATTTCTTGCACCTTGTATCTGTTCTTGTGTTTTGTAATTATTTGTTACATAAAATTTCTTGTACCATAATATGTTAAAAATAAATGCTAAAATTCCTTTATAATACAAAAAACAAGTATCTAAATGTAAACAAATAAAAATTTGAGTTAAAACAAAAGATTTTTTTCCCCTGAAAGTTTGGGGCAAAACCATGGGCGTGCATAATACACGGCAAAATACAGTACCTCTCAGGAGAGAAATGAGAACTGGGAGAAGTAACAGGAGGGCTTGGGTGGAATATTAATTTCTTTTTAAAATATCAAGCTAATATCATGAAATGATAAGAATGGACAAAGCTGAATAAATGGGCTCTATTATCTTATTATGTCATGTTATTTGAAACATTTGAGTGCCAGCTTCATGACATCTGGGCCTTTGTTTTGTTGACTGCTCTAGTCTCAGAACCTAGAAAAGTACCTGATGCATAATAAATGCTCAATAAATTGTAACTGGGTGAATGATTGTGTACTGAATGAATGATGCTCTCTATAATTTTGTATATTTCAAATAATTCATTTAAAACAAAAATAGTTATAGAAATAAAAATATGAAAAACATTGTACTTTCTCACAGCAAAAAAAAAAAAGAAATATGAAAAAAATGGGGAAACGTGAAAAGTATTGTGCTTTTTCACAGCACACATTTGTGAAATTTGTGTAAAAGGAAGTTGTAGGGAAAAAAGACTTTTGGGGGAATTCAGTGCTTAAAGAAGCTTCCAAAACACAAATTAGATTTAACAATTGGGTGGGAAGGGGAGCTGGGATGGTTCCCTTTTGGAATAACTTGTGCTAAAGCTCTAGTGTGGAGTTCTCTGGATTTGTGTTAAGGTAAACAACGGACTCGGTCCTCTGATTTGATATCAGCGCCCGAAGAAGCTAAACAAATCCATCAGTTGTGCCCTCTAGTCCCAACATCTTCCAGACCCACGAGCAGGGTGAGGTCTTCCCCAGCCCCACCACACAGCACAGCAAAGCACAGCAGTGTATCATTGTTGCATGTACTCCCAACATTTCCAGGCGGTCTCCCAGTTCAGAAAAGGCGGGAAGAAAAAAATATGGAGACGAACTGCTTTCTTGCCCTTCTTATCCAACCCATCAGGAAAACGGCAAACCACGACAGCATGCACCTGGGCCAGGCATGCAGGGAAGACCAAGACAAGTGGAAAAGTACCTCGGAAGTCACCTTGCAAGACAGTAACTTAGAGGTGTACTAGCAGAGAGGGAAAAGACCAGGGTTAGTACATGGCAGACACACTCACAGAATACCCCCCAGCTGGGAACTGGTACCAAACCAGGGGCAGACAGGAGAACAGTGATGCCGGGAGACCATTACTCCCCACACCAAGGCTTGCTTCATCTGATATTAGTTTATTTAAAAGTCTGTATCTTTTGCAGCCAAGTAGATACCCTATTATTTTTTAATAAAAATATCAGATAAGCCATACTTTGTTAATTCAAGATTTGTTGCTTCCATTTTCTGTGCCTTGAATTAACAAAATTGCCCCGCCCACCTCCCTGTATGCAAACAGCTGCCCACCAACATGGTCCTTGACAGCCATTTTGGATTTGCTAGAATCTATAGCCATCTATAGCCAAATAGCCTCTTCTCTTCCTGTAGGCTCCTCTGAACCCCAAAGCAGTCTTGTAGCCCATTGTCCCATGAAAAGGAGATCGTAAGCACAGAGATTGCTTTAAATGCAAGGTTTGTGGAGGCAGGTTCTCTAAAGCTGACCTAAGGGTGGCACTGAATAGGGAAAGCGTGCAGCCTCCCTCACCACTATCTTGGGGGCCTGGGTAAGCTCCTGAGAGCGGGTGATCATGGAGAAACTAAAATGATCCTTTAGTTCCTGCAGGAGATAAAAGTCACTGCAAGAAAAGCTCAGAAAACAAAAAAAATGCCCTGATTATGGGAAATGAGATAGAAGGACCAACTTTAGACAGCCCCTTCCAGAATCGTGGTAATGACCTTGTATTTACACTGTTTTGGACACTGATCGGTTTTCGGCATTGGTCACACCATAGACTGGTTAGGTGAGATCTTATGTCTGTGATCACTGACTGCTCCTTATCATTAGTTCTGTAATGGTAAGGCTGATGGCTGAGAGCTGATGAATTCGGAGTTCTCCTCTTCTTTGCATCTTCCTCGGGTGTGAGTGAGAACCCAAAAGAAATCTGGGTAGCACAAAACATCATCGATTTTGGCTGAGCTTCTTGTAGACTTGGGGGTGGGGAACCAGAGGCAGGTGGCTTCCTTTACTTACTCACTCAATGAGCAGAGCGGCACAACAACCAAAGGGTCTAAAGAAAACTGTGTGCCAGAAATTCTTAGATAAGCAGTAACTGCAAGCCCCTAGCTTTGATGTAACCCAGGAGAATTAATGAGGCCTTCTCTTATTCCAAGACAGGCAGGGATGGCTGAAAGCAACTCTTCGTGGGGCAAGAGAAAGTGAGAACACAGGAAAACTCCACCCAGAGCAGATCCTGTGCTAGAAGTGAGGTTGGGACGGAATGCCTAGGAGGCTGACATGTGGACTCCGGCCAGCATCACTTCAGTCAAGAAAGGGAAAGCAATCCACCAAGTTCAAAGGCATCACTGACTCAATAATCTGTGGTCTTCTGAGGCTCAGCTCAAGTTGGGGGAACAATTGGCCAGAAAAAAAACGCTGTTGCCTAAATATCCTTCTTTTGCACGGCACCAAGAGACGCTTTAGGAAACTATGATTCATCAGTCTGTTATGTGTTGCATGACTGACCAGAGATGGCATCAGGCCCACATGAAGGGACATTTCCACATAGGATACTGTTTCCAGATAAGAGAGACCCACAGTAAGAGCAGGGTTGCTGCATCTGGGTGGTTCAGTGTGTGCACTGAACAAAAGCACTAGGCAGAGGGGATTGATGCAGTTGAAGCTCAACTGTGTGGCTGGTGCAGGGCTGTGCCCTCACAGAGGAAAAAGGGTGTCTTTTTCTAATTCTCACAAGGGCCCTGTATAGGATGGCAAACAGCCCAGAGTGAGGGGGTGGGGATGGGGATAGCAACCGTCCTACCCTCAAATTAGGTGAGGAGTCCATTAGTAAGTGGGGCCTGGCTGAAGCTTCGAGCATGGAGACACTCACTGGTGACCATTCCATGCAGACCAAGGCAGCCAGCCCCGGTGGGTAGAGACTGTGGGTACGTGCTCAAGCTCTGAGCTGGTAACAAGGATGGCTGTTTGGGAATAACTTTTTGAGAAAAGGGGTTTTGTCGCGTTATCACTGACATTTTCACCAGCTGCGAAATGAACAGAACACCCACAGACCATTTAGTGTCACCGATACAGTGACTCCTGGGTCGATGGTCTAAGAGTTCATGACTTAAGTTTTCGAGCCTTTGTCGAAATCTTTTGATTCTCTGAGCCCTCATCTTGTTTCCAGCAGGAGCGAGGCCAGCTCAGGAACAGGAAAAGAGCACCAAGTGCTGCTCAGTGCCCCCCACGCCCTCTCCTGGCGGGGGTTCCATGAGCCAGAGGCCTCCCGGCCTGTTCTCTATATGATTATTTTATGAAGCAGTTCAGGGTTCCAGAGACAATCGCTGCTCTGGGGTGGGGGAGGCTGCACCTGTTTTGATGGCAAGGGTCAGTTTTGCTCGGGTAGGTTGGCAAAGGGCTCTCATGAAACTACGGAAATACCTTCATGTGGTTTCTTTATCTTCGCTTTCTTCTGTCCTTCATACTCATTGATGTCGTTGTGACAAATGTATCACTGTACCTACACCCCAGTTACCCTACTTTTTTTTAAGTCTGCCTTCTCTTTAGGAAGCACAGCAAATAAGAATTGCTTTCATTCAATTCAGAAAGAGTTGGTTACTTCCAATGGGCAAACACATGGTTTGGTCCCCGTCATGTGTGAGGAACTCATAAGTCCTGCCAAGTGATGTTTGGATGGAATATTGGCAGCGGGACCACCAATATTGGTACCAGTGTGACACTGGACCCAGGTGATCCATGTGAGGTTCTTAGAGAATGAAGACTCTAAGAAGCCACAGTTTGCCCAGAGAATGGCGTATGTGAATGGAGCCAAAACAGAACTATAGCTTCTAGGGGCTGAGAAGCCAGGTAACACAACTCAGGTATCAAGCAATCCATCTGATCCCTATTATTATCCTTCTGGTTCAAGAGACAATTAAAGAAGGGGCCACGGATCAGCTAGGAAAACAAATGAAGGCTTGCTAATTCTTACAGGTAAACTTCAACCTATTCTCCAGTGACTGATCCAGACACAACAGAAAAGATCCCTTGAATCACAAGGGCTAAAAAGTGAGGTGACAGATAGCTCTGACCGTATATTTGCTTTAGAAATAATCTGACTATGCTTTTTCCAGATTTGGGTGTCTTAAAAGGGATATAGTGGATTGGACAGATTCTGTTCTATTCCTAAGAATTTTCAACGACAAACTTGGTTCTCTTGTAATGTCAGTAACAGTACAAAAAACTTGGCTTTGAATCCAAGATCTGGGGATAGTAATAGCTTGAGTAGTTAGTAGCCTTCTTCCTTATATGAAATGTTTACTTATTTGAGAAAAGTAGAGACAGAAGCCTGTCACTTCATTGCTTATGTGAAGGGAAATTGATGTATTAAATGCTGATTCCAACCAAGCAGCTTCCCTAATGCAAAGGGGAAATCCACCCTGGTCGGCATTTGCCAGGAGGCTGCCTGAGTGTCAGAGTTTGCATGAAGGAGGCTTCCAGCATCTGCTATGAAATAAGTAAGAGAGGGCTCTCCACTTGTGTGTGTAGTATTTCCTCTAACATCTGCATTTCAACACAAAGGGCATACACAAGAGACATATAGAGGGTGCTTAGAATACACTCGCATGGGGCACATGTAGAAAGGTTTTCCATTTGTTCTTTCCCTCTTCCACGCCAGAATGCAAGGGGCCACTCAGCTAACTTCCACCAAAGCTGCTGATGTGTGGTGTGGGATCACTGGGGAGAAAAAGAAACAAGCCATTTCCAGCACTAGGCTTCAAAATGGCCACCGGCTCCAGAAAACACCTCAAGGCGAACTCTGTATTTTAAATGGTGATGCAAACAAGGGCCAGCTAAAAGGGACTTAGTGGACAGAAAAAGGGCTGTGGGCCCAGGAAAGGAGCTGCAGCCATGAAACAGTCTGCAACAGCCACTGAGGGCCAGGCCCTATCCCACTGTGCGGCAGGGGAACAGCCCAGAAACGCTCCAGCCTGACAGGGGAGTTGAGTCAGTATTCTAAGCAGTTTAGATGTACAGCCAAGGGAGAGCCTGGGAGATGCCAAGCGGGCCGTCAAGCCGCTATAGACTTGTTTGCTTTCGTCCTGTCTTTACCACTAAATATTTTGAAAGCAACACTGAAGGTCTGGCTTCAATGTCAGAAATCCTTTAACTTAGCCAATCAGGTTATGAAACACAGTAAGTCAGCCTGGAATTCCTACTGTGAGCCCTGCAGCATTCAAGTTTAAGGTGACCGAATAAGTTATCATCCAAACTAGGGCACTTTGAAGAGTAAAAGGGGATGCTATTAATAATGCACCAGGACAAAAGGCATAAAAAACCAGGACTGTCCGGGTAAACTGGGGGGTATCCTCAACCAACCCCAGCTACCTGGGACCTAAGTTTAACTGGGGGGAAGAGATGATCACCTCAATAAATGCTAGGAGACCGAGGCCGGCAGACTCCTAGGAGGTTGGCGTGGACCCCTGAGGCTCTTCCCAGGCTCCTGGCTGTGGAACAAAAGCTCTTAAGTCTCTTACTGGAGAAAGAAACCACAGAGCAGATGACTCCCTTCACGGTTCATGTGGACATCACGTGCAGAGTTCTCAGGGCTGGGGGTAGCAAGGAATAGCCGTGTGGTTTTCAACTATCATTTTAAATGGCTCTTTCCTGCCAAACTGTACGTACAGCTTGGTAACAGCCCCAGACACGCTTAGTCTTCTGAGCACTGTGCAACCTTTACAGGGATTGCCCAGAGGAGACGCTGAAGGAATAGCATCGTCCTAGTCCTCTACAGAAATAAAATCCTGCAGAGCAGGCCAGCGACAGGTATGTCCATCTTCCCGTCCTGCATGGTGTCTCACTACACACCAAACGTCTCAGGAAGTAGCCTTGCCAGGGGGCTCAAGCTATACTTGGCAGCAAAATGACCTATTTCCTTGCACGGTCGATGTTTTTGAGAAATAAGACAAACACCCAACCCCAACTCCAGGCATGTTAAACCGCATATCTGAAAATCGGATTTGGAACCATGACACTGGCAGACAATTGCATACATAGCCATGCCTAAACTGGCATACCGTACACCACGCTGACGTTAGCCCTCAAAGCGAAAGAGGAAAGGAGGAGACACTTACACTACCATCATCCATTCTCTCGCGCCTTTTAGATTTGTGTGTCTCATAGTCTTCCATGAGGGTCTGCATCAGATTCTTGGGCCGCTGGGCTCCGGCAGCCTCTTCAGGGGCTAAGTCAGGCTGCAAGCTGGGGCCTTCAGGTGTGGGGGATGAAGGAGGTCTGACTTTCTCTATTTTCCCTGAAACAATACGAAGAGAACACCCTTTCTAAGCTTGTCTGCTCGTGACTGCTTTCAGAAAGAAGAGAAAACTGGCAATTAAAAAAGAAAAGCAACCTGTGACACAGAGAGTGGTAGCAGAGCAATGATTCAGTGCAGGTCATTTTACCACAGGGATCCAAGCACTAATGGATAATGTCACAAACCCATCCAACAAGGACCTCAAGGAAACCAGTGCTAAAAAGTCAGACCGAAGAGGCCAGTCGGGAGCTTTGCAAATATAAGTCACACACAGACAGACGACACTGGCTCCAGCCATGTTAGGAGCATGTATTCTGTTACAGGTCATAGAATTAGACTGCAGAGGATGTGGCATCTTTGAGCTTTGAGACCCACTTCTTACAGATGAGAACATTCTGCCATGGGAGGCTGTGCTGAGGTCACTGGGCGCCAGCGATGGGACCCAGGTCTCCTGGTTTCCTCACCGGGTTCTTTCTTCTCTATCAAAGGCCACCAACTATCACATGACCTGCCCAGGCTTCTGGCATGGACAGCGCAGTTGTTGTAAAACCTCTGCATGAGAACTAGGTTGGTTCTTCCCAGGTCACCCAGGTTTTACACAGGCCACCTTCGTTCATTGACCTTACCTGCCTCGGTCCTGAAATCATTCGGCTTTCAGATCCCCCAAACCTTAAGGAATGCATGTCAACAAAGGCAGCCTTAGTGTTGCAGAAAAGGTGTGCACCAGACTTAGGGAAGGTGAGATTTTGGCTTTGGAAATGCCTCCCAGGCAGGAATTCTCAGATAAGGAGATCAGGTCAATGGTGGCAGTGGGGTGGTGACTCCAGGCAGTTTCCCTAAGACTGTCAGCATCCCTCCCTCTTGGGAGTGCTGGGCCCTGGTTTCTAGCCCACCAAGGAGTGGCTTTTATTGCCATCGAGCCCCATATGCACCTCTGAGAAGTATCTTTGGGTGCAACAGTCACGATTTTTCTAACCCTACGCATTGTAGGAGACAGAGGGTCTACAAACAAGGAATGGGGAAAAGCACACAAAATAAGTGGGACCATTCAAGTCCAAAGTTTGGAGACTGCCAAGGGGGAGATTAAAGACCCATTTGACCCTTTGCAGTCCCACAGAAGGAAACCCCTAGCAAAACAGCCCATCCCTGGAGCAAGTTTTACCATTTATAGACACTAGAGGTCACATGAGCAACAGGAAAGGAAGACTGGTTTAGTGGGTGGAGAGCAGCAGCTTCCAAAGGGAAAGTGGCTGAGAGGTTTTGAGTGAACGGGAGGTTTCAGATAACCAAGCCCATGTCAGAGCCTCAGAAGCAGCTGTCACAGGTCCCCAGAGAAAGGAGACACAGCGCCCCATCCTTGGACTTCTGGCCATCAGTTTGATTGGTACTGGGATTGGTGTGGTTAAAACCATGCACCAGAATTCTGTGCATCATCTTGGGGATCACACAGGCTGCTAAACAGCTGAAGAGAGAGGGACCTGTTCCACACCCAACATCTTCCTCAAAAGTCTAGTTTGCAGCCAACAGCCCTCACAATTAGTTAAACAAGTTAAAAAAAAAACTTCTAACGCTCTTCTCCCAGTGGTTGGCACTGCAGCCGCCACCATGGTTTGGGTCTCGGGCATCATTACATGAATGTGATGCAAGTGGTCTGTGCCACAGGTCTGAAAAGTCCATCTCATCCTTGTCTATGGCCTTGTGAGGCTCCTGGAAACTATTTGGCCCTGAGGACAAACCTTAGAATTCCCAGTGACGGACGGTCACGTGTGGTACTCACTGGCATACCTCTCCAGCACCCCCTGGTTCTGGCCCCACTTGTCTCATCAAGACTTGCTTTTGTATATGTTTATTCACCTGGCGAATGACTGAAGAGCTGACGACAGCTGAAAGTGGCCCCTATTTTTTAATGACAAACATCCTGTCATCTAGTTTCTCACCTGACCTGAACACTCTACAATAAACGGCTCTCTTGAAGGACCCGTTTCCCAGTCACTGTCCCTGGGAAACAACATGAACAGGAAATGAACACAAAGACCTCAGAGCAGACCTGATGGTCTTGGCTCAAGGCTGGTAGCTGGCATTTGCTGAGCAGGGAGCAGGTGCACTGTGAGCTCTATGACAATAAGGAGCCGGTGGAACAAAGCTAAACTGGAAATTCTGAAGGGAGGCTAGGAAGGAGACATTTTCAAGTTTATTTCATAAACGTGATTTTGTTCAAACTATTCCATCTAGAGTAATTTTAGAGTTCAGATTTTAAAGGTATTGGAGGGTGAGCAGCTTCACTTGGCTGGGATGATTCCAAAGCTATGTTTCTAAAATTATGTCCAATTACATTAGGCTTGTCAGTACTCAATGCTGCAAACAGAAAATCATGGGTTACATAAGCTTGGGAAACACTGGGTTAAAGAAAGCTTGAGAGAGAGAGAGAGAGAGAGAGAGAGAGAGAGAGAGAGAGAGAGAGAGAGGGAGAGAGGGAGGGGGCGTGTTCTTTAACAGAGGACTTCTCCAGTTATAGTGCTAATACAATTGTGAATCTCTAATTCAAAGATGGGTATGCGGCATTTCTCAAATTTACTTAACCACAGAGCCTCACTTCACAGAATCTCTATTACATCTTAAGGAAAACCGTGTGAAATACTGTTCTCTAGTTTATATCTGTTAATCAGCTCCCAAGGAACTGTTGGGCACAAGTTCAGCAAAGAATTAAGTATGGGCACAAAGCTTACGTATGAGAACACTCACCATGGTTTTTAATAATTACACATGTGGAAACAACCAAGATGTCAGACTAGAGGAGGATGGTTAAGTTAGTTATGGCTCATTCAGACGATAGCGTATTTATTTAGCCATTACAAATATGTTTCAGTCAAATATAGAGGAATAATTAGGGTCATGGGAAAATATTCAAAACCTATTAAGAGAAAAAAACAGGTTACAAAAGCAGATATTTTGCAGTGGTTTAAGAGAGCAGGCTGCAGACCTAGGCTGCCTGGGTTCAAATCCTGGTTCACCCCTTACTAGCTGCGTGAAAGAAAACGAAAGGGTATGCATGGCCCATGGTACCAACTCCATCGGTGTAAGACGAACAGTAAGTCTTGTGGCAGGCAGGATGGTGGTGTCCACCAAAATGCCTAAGTCTTAATCCCCAAAATCTGAATATGTTACCTTATATGGAAAAAGGACTTGGCAAATGTGATTAAGTTAAGGGCTGTGAGATGGGAATATTATCCTAATAGATTATCCAGTTAGGCTTGATGTGATCACAAGGGTCCTTCTAAGAGGGAAGCAGGAATCTTACAAGGGTCCTTATGAAAGTGAGAAAGTGAGAGTGAGAGATAGAGAGAGAGAGAGAGGAGAGAGGGAGGGAGGGATCAGTTCTAAGGTGTCTTTTCATATAAGGGCACTAATCCCATTACGAGAACCCCATCCTCATGGTTTAATCTAACCCTAATTACCTCCTCCTAAAGGCCCCATCTCCAAATACCATCCACATTGGCAGTTACGGCTTAAACATAGGAATTTTGGTGGAACACAGTTCAGTCCATAACTGACACACTGCAGATTTCTGAATCTATAAGATTCTAGAACGATAATAAATGTGTGTAGTTTTAAGCCACTGTATTTGTGGTAATCTGTCACAGCAGCAATAGGAAACCAATACCAATATTAACCCAATATTATCTTCCATGTCCATATGTACATGGAGAAAAACTAGGCAGGTAGTGGTTATGATCATGAGTCACTTTGGTTTTTATCTTTATTCTCCCATTTTTCTTTCTACAATAAGCATGAATTAATTTAAAAATATAAAACAAACCAGAAAAAAATTTAAGTAGTATCAGCCATGCTCAGAAAAGTAGAGAGAGCTGCTTGCTTTAACCTTCATGGACCAGGCAGACCCACAAGCTTTTCCGCCTCACCAGGCAGCACGCACCCAGGAGAGCTGATCAGTGGACATCTCGTCAAGGCCTCAGAAAAGCACCAGTCACATCTGTGACAGTGGCACTCACAGGCTGTAGCACTGTGAGGCCAAGTAAGGAGCAGAGAATTTCACTCCAAATCAGTAAGTGTTGTCTCTCATCATGAGTGGAAGAGAAATCTAGGAACCGTGAATTTGCGTTTCTTGATTATTAAAAACAGTTAATAATAAAGTGTCTGGGCCAGAGAAAGCAAACCACGCTTTGGCTCCACGTCTGGATTTTCCAAGCAAGATGGATTTTCCTGGGGCACCTGCGACAGGCTGTGTTAACTGGGGCAGAGAGAAAAATTCCTCCCACTCAAGGGAACCCGAGCGAGGGCTGCATGTCCTGAGAACACAGCGGTTGCCATGTCTGACAACCTAAACCCTCCTCAGTAGAAACAGGACTCACTTCTAAAAAGCCAAGAATGGGTGGATTCCAGAAGTTTAGAAAATTAATTTCATCAAATATTATGATTTTGGTGATTATTATATTCCATGTACATGGCGTCTGACGTCTTAAATCAAAGATCCTTTGTCTCTTCAGTTTTTTCCAAAAGAAAAGAAAAAGCCAGCACCCACTCTTATTTAAAAACCAAAAGGAACCGAAAAAGACGCCCACCAGATGACATGCCTTGGTGCAGGCTTCCTTCAATGATCTCTTTTCTTCACACAGCACTGGGGTTAGGTTGCAAACATCAAAAACAGCTCACAGGTCATTGACATGAGCTCAGAAAGAAATGAGCTCAGACTTGCATTTTCAATTCCATTTCCTCTCAGTAAAAGGGAATATCCTGCTGTCAGACCCCAAGCACAGGGGCTTGTGTAGAATGCAGCTGTGACCCACACTCCAGGAGTGGTCCTTGGTCCTTTTAACTCCTCTGAAGGCCCACGGGTGGGAGGAAGCGATGATATGAATCTTCAGCTTATAAGGCTCGCTCAGATATGAGAAACACCCCTGCCTGATGAAACAAGGCTGAGGCACATCCAAATATTATGATTAATACTTAAAGCAAGTTGGGGTGTTGGATGAGTTGCTGAT